CCCTTTTATTTTTTTTATTTTTTTTATAAAGACATCTTGTTCCCTTTATATATTTTTTAAAATAGTGCCACACTTTGCTCTTTTGGGCAGGCAACACATCTTATATTTGTAACATTTTTCAATCATCAGTTAGTGATTAGAAAATTAGGGTTGAAATATTTAGATATAAAAAACTTAAATTTCAACATTTTTTATCAAAAAATATAAAAAGACCTTTAAAATCTAATTTTGAGAACAAAACACATTTTAATTAGATAAAAAAAATCAAAATCAAATAAAATTTTAAAAATATAAAGTCCTGATCTACCTTTTTTGACATTATTAAAGGTATAAACCATCTTCATTGAGTTTTCCTTTCAAAACAAATCCAAATACATTAAAATCACAATTTATTTGTAGTTGGAATTTGGTCATCCAAGAGTTTTCTCTTTCTATTTTTTTTTGTGACTTTTTTTTTCTCTTTTATAAAAATCCACGGGTGAAATAAAAATAAATGAACTAAAAAATCGAATTGTTGAAAGCCTAAAAGAACAATGATCAAATAATGAAAAGAGTTAAATTGAAGGGATCAAAATGAACATTTCCATGTCATCGGAACCATTAGCACACCAAAAGTTTTTTTTTTTAAATACCGATTTCAATCCTAAATCTTTGAAATTCAGTGTTATGAACAGCTTGAGATTTAATTCTGTAAAATTGGTTTTGAATCCATCGTTGGAATATTTAATGGCATATATATAGATATATATATATATATATATAGGGAATGCAAGACAATGTAAATCAATATTGATTAAAAAAAAAACAACAAATAGGTTCATATCAACTGTAAGGATAAGTGATAAAAACAGGAGAAGGCCAGAATCTCAGAGACTAAGAATGAAGAGATTGGCTATAAACAATGACATTGACAATAAGATGAGAAAGAAAGATGAACAGTAGAAAAGCCAATAAAAATAAAATAATAATAAAGAGATTGACTATAAACAATAACATTGACAATAAGATGAGAAAGAATGATGAAAAGTAGAAAAGCCAATCTCTTTGTTTCTTTAATTTATATTTGTTAATTTTATTTAGTTTTTACCATCAGGATATTTTTAACCAGTTTCTCACATGTTGTTATTAATATTTTACGTTTTCAATTAAGTTTCAAATAAATCATCCTATATTAGGATTTTATCTTTATAAATAAATAAATAAAAAGAAATTTCTTGCAAATCCATCTCTGAAATTTAATGAATATGAAAAACAAATCCACTTTGTTGATAAATAGTCAATGTTACGACTTCTCATGACCCGACAACTTGGTATTCTTGTCGGGTTAGATCTTATTTCGGGTCTATTAACTGTAGGTTGATTGGAGTTTTATGCTAAAAACAATGCAGCTGGACGGTGTCGTTCATGGAGCTTGTACCTGTGAAAAGAATCCCTTGGCAGGATCCAGTTTGCATTGGGAATTGAATTATACCATGCCATATATTTATTTACCTTTGGACTTTCTCAGGGAAATGCGACAGTGGAATCTCGTTATCTGAACAATCCGCTTCTCAAAATTCTTACACTTCAATAACCTTCGATATTAGATATTTCAATATTATATTGTTTTGAAAATTGTACTTTCAGAATTTTTTTATTTTTTTATTAATTTAAATTTTTATTATTATTTTCAATCTTTAATATTATTAAATCGGTTTGAAATGAAGATTTGTGATTTTTTTATATGAATTTATTATAATTTCACGATCTAGTCATCAGCATGACTGTTCAATGATGAGGATGATCGTTGCTCCTCTCCTTGGATTAGCCGCAAACAGATGACTAAAAGCGCTTCCTGAACAGAGTCCCGGAAATTCCAATGCAATTAGCAGTGTGGATTCAATTGGGGCCAAAATAAATTGTCTAATAGACAATTGCATTGCAGAATAACCCACAAGTCATTTTATCTCAAAATGGTGATTTTGATAAATTCATTTTGATCATTTTTGCGGATCACTTCTCTAAATGTGTTGACAACCACGCATTTGAAACTTATGACATATTTATCGAGGTAAGGAGGTATGTTCAGCTTTAATAAATTAATTTAGGTTAATTTAATTTTTTTTTTAAATTATCTTTTTATTTGGTTTTTCCTTCAATTTTTTTATGTTAATATTGTGTTGGTTGAATATTAAAATTTATATTTTATTTATTTATTTTTTATAAAATTATCCTAATCTCATAATTTAAATCACATGTTTAACAAATTAATCTAGATTGACTTTATTTATTTTGTATATCTTTTTTAATTAATCTTTGTAATTTTTTTATTTAATTTTTATAAGGTTATTTTAATCTCATTGATCCAGATCATTTTTTAATTAAAAAATTATTTTTTTAATTTTATACTTCAACAATTTTATTTTTTTTCAGATTCATCATTGAATATTAGATTGTTTAGGAATTAAGCATTGTAATTCTTTTCAATTTTATTTATATAGAATTATCCTGATCTTATGGATTTAGTTTTTTTTTTAACCTTTAAGATCGGACCTGTTAATTATAAATAATAGTTTTTTTTTTAACCTTTAAGATCGGACTTGTTAATTATAAATGAAATTTCATAATTTTATTTATTTATTTTTTATAAAATTAGCTCAGTCTCATTATCTAGATCATGAGTTTAATAAGCTAGTCTAAGTTGACTTGAGTTGACTTTTTATTATTTTTAATTGATTTTTTCTGTTACCATCAATTAATATTGGGTTAGTTAAAAATGAGGTTCTTAATTTTTTTTTATTTGCTTCCTAATCTCATGAACCGAGTTATTGGTTTGACAGGTTAAACCGGGTTGACTCAATTTTTTTAATTTTATCTTTTATTTTTTTAATTTTAATTTTGATTTTTTTATATTTTTATCATAATTTTATAACCTCAATCACATATTTAACATATTAATTTGAGTTGATCTAATATGTTGTAATTTTAATATTTTTTTAAAAAAATATTATTTTATTGATATTTAAAAAAAATATCATTTAATAAGCATTATATTTTGAGCTCATAATTATTTTTTAATTAAAAAATACATCAATAATACAAAAAAAAAATTTTATGCTAAAAAAATAATTTAACACACAACGCAACATGTAACAATAATCTAATAGATGATAGATAATGTCCATACAAACATTTTAATTATATGTCTATTTTATAGGTGTTGATTTTTTTTAATTAATATGAATATCTAGTCAAGTTTGTGTATAACTCATCTAATCCTACGAATTCTAAAATTAATGATCATGTAAATTTTTAATGATCATCATATTAGCAACGATAGGACTTGAATTTGAGACCACGAAAAAAATAAATTTTTTAATCTTAAATTTTCACTAATGGACTATCTCCTAAATAATTAACATATATACGTGCGCACACATATATTATTTTTCAAAAGAAAAAACCTAAAAAGTAGAAAAAAATTAGGCATATGAGCTTGAACTTTAGGTCATGCTTGGCCTTTTGTGTTTTAAGCTAGAAACTTACCTATTCGAGCCATGCGTTTGAGATCATTGTATAAGGTTTTTTTTATCTCAAGTTTTAATCAAAACTCATTAAAGTAAATAAAAAAAAAACAAACTACAATTATATCTAGAATATTATTCTATTTAATACTATTCAATTTCAAGTTTATTTTTAAATAAGATTAGAGAATTTGTTTTATAAGAGTAGCGAGTGCTTTTTTTATGTAACCCTTCTTAAATTTTTTAAAAGTTTAATCAAAATTAATTATGATTAAATAAATATAATAAAATTTAAGATATTATCTCATTGGATATCATTGAATTTGATATTTATTTTCAAAAAAGACTTTAGCATTTTTTTACAACATTAGCAATTATTTTGGTAATTATTATATTTGAACCTACTATTTAGATTTTTTTATGTATGTGTTCGTGAATATTCTATAAAAATAAAGCTCAAATTATTATACTCATTGATTTTTGTATTTTTCTCACTTTTTATTCAATCACACCATGCTTTTTTTTTTAAATAATTTCTGTAAAAAAATTACATGAATAAAAAAGAACATTTCGATGAAAAATATATTTTCTTCCATAAATCTATTTATCTTCTTTCATCCAAAATATAGTTTTAAATTTTTTGTGTGATTAATTATGAAATAGGTTATGAAAACGTTTCTGTGACATTATACACACAATATTTTTTTTTAATACATCCACGTCAAAATTGCTAAAACAATTTTTTTTATTAATTTTTTTTTTATGGTTCTGTTAAGTTGTTATTTAAAAAATAATTATTTTAGTATAATGTTTTTTTAAAAGGCAGCACATTAATAAAGTCAAGGTTTGTAATGAAAAGGATACCTTGGTATTTTTATTTCAAATAATTCAATTTTTGTTTTTGATATTAATTATTAGAACTTTATCTTTTTATTGGATGAACAACTTTTATAAGAAAACTATATATAATTAGACTAGAAAATTATTTTGATCAAATAGAATTTAAATTATTATTTTTCTTGAAAAATTAAAAAAAGTATCATATAATTAGATAAAAAATTTTAAAAACTCCCCATGATACAATATAGTCAATTGATTAAAGTTATTTTTTCTTGTAAATACATTAAAACAATATAACTTGAAAAAAATATTAAAATAAATTAATTTAAAATAAAAAATAATAATTCCAAACGCAGCTATAATTTTAGTACGCTGTCTTGAAGTAGATTAAAAAGATAGATTTTGTTAGCTTCAAAGCTAGACCAAGAAAGTATTTAAAAATATTGTAATAATTATTTTTTTAAATATATCTTATTTAGATATATATTAAAATTAAAATTTTTTATTTTTTAAAAATTATTTTTGATATCAATATATTAAAATAATTTTAAAATATAAAAAATATTAATTTAAAGTAAAAAATAAAAACAAATTAATTTTTTTTAAAAAAATATAAAAATCAAACCGTTCTTAAATAGATAATTAAAGTACCAAAGAGGCAGCCAAATTTTCAAGAACATCATGTCAGTCAGTGCTTCACTTAACTCTTGTCACATGGAACATGCTGTCACAAGTTGACAACATCGTGGTACAGACGTGGGATTACCTGGATACGCATCGGCCTAGCTAGAATAAGAGTTTTTTTTGTCCTCTCAAGCAAAAGCTAGGGTATGATCTAGTGTGATATTCTATTCTATTTAACAGTTTATTTAATGGCAATGCACTTCAAATTCACAATTATCAATGTGAGTTACTCTAACAATCTAATATTTTTTTTTAATATTTAATGGTATTTTTTATTTGGTAATACGATTCAAACATGAACACATTTTAATTTTTTTATTTAAAATTATTTTTTATAATATTTTCAGATCATTTTAATATATACTAATATCAAAAATAATTTTTAACTTTTTTTAATATATTTTTAAATAAAAAATTATTTTAAAAAATAACTATTACTATATTTTTAAATATTTTTTATGTAAATTATTTTTATAATTATAAATTTGTTACATGTTTCACATCTCGTAAAATCTTTATTTAACCTTGGAACTACTCATGATTCTCATGCACCTATAATTTATGTGACATGAACATAACTTAATAAAAAGAAAAATGTAAATTGAATTAACATATCTATTATTATTTTTAATATTCAATTTGAAAATGTCACTACAAGCATAATTCCTTACCAACAAAAATAAAAAAATTCATTTTTAGTAATCATATATTGATAAAAAAAACTTAATAGCTTGTTTGAAGCCAGCCTTGTCAAGAAGAAAACTTATCAAATTCTTCCAAAGATGAATTTTTACTCGACCTCTCCACTACACTTGGATGGCATGCAAATTACCAAGCTTAATTGCTCGTTGTTCCTTATAAAAAGTGTAAGCTTTGAACCAATTTTTGGTCATATTAAAATATTCAATTAGCACATTAATATTTTAAACCATTTTTATATCCATTATTGTCATCATAGAATGACTTTTCGATTACATTGGCCCGAAATTGCAAGCTATTGAACCTAGAAATTGCAAGCTCAAGCAATATGCCTACTCTACTCTTTGCATGATTCCTGTTTCCACTACCAATTCTTTTTATATATATTTTTCTTCTTAGGCTTTTATTGAGAATTTCTGGTGTATTATTTTTAAATATATCTTTATTTTTAGAAATTAAATTTACCTTGTCGGAAGCTGTCCATAACTTTCCTGCGTCATTAAACTTTCTTGAACGAGAATGGATGAAGGCAGTTGTCACAGAGACGAATCATCCATGGTAGCAAAGGGGGGAAGAGAGGGTGAGAAAATCAATTTATTTAATTGAATGAGATTGACAAAACCAGGGACTAAAATGACCAATCATTTTCTTTTTTCCAAGGGAGAAGATGCTGTTTTTAGACTCGGTCCAAAGTTTACTTAAGTGGGCCCAAAATAACGATAGTTAGTTCACAGGACGAGGATGACGACGGCGAACCAAATCCATGGTTTCTTCCCACGGACAATAGAAGGCCCACACTTCAACGAAGATAAGAATCCTTTCAGCTCCACACCGGCTCCAATAGCAACAAAAAGCTCACAAGAACCCAACACCGTTTGATCAAAACTTAATCATGCTCTTTTGATCGAGTAGAAATCACGCGCTACAGACAGGAAGCTTTGTAAACATCTGCATTTGCTAAACTCAAAAGCTTACCTTCCCTCCTAAACAGCAGAACGCGATCCCTTGCTTCTCTTCGACGAACCTCATTTCTTGTATCCTGTCACTGCCCATTCTGTCTGAATTGATGTATAAATATTTGAAACATTAAAAGGGAGGCTTAAATCAATATCGGGTTGTTGGTTTTAGCTTTTGGGTTGTCGAAAAAGTTATATACTTCGTTTTTTCTTGGGTTTCTTTTCATGGCTGGAAAAGTTGTAGATGCTGAGTACTCGAAGGAGATTGAGAAGGCTCGTCGAGACCTTCGCGCTCTCATTGCTAGCAAAAGTTGTGCTCCCATCATGCTTCGTTTAGCGTAAGTACAATCTCTGCATTTATCTGTTTATAACAAAAGTGCTGTCCACGTTAAATTGGTATTTGCGTGTACAAATATTTTGTTTGGATGGTTGATATTGGATCGTAAGGACTGCGTAGCAATAGCTTTCTCTCGAAATTTTTTAATGGTGTTTTTTGGAATGTTTATTGCAGGTGGCATGATGCAGGGACTTATGATGCAAAAACAAAGACAGGAGGGCCCAATGGTTCCATCAGGAATGAGAAAGAGCTAGCACATGCTGCAAACAGTGGTATCAAAATTGCTATTGATTTTTGTGGTGAGTTTCTTACCCCCTTTTGTGAATCATTTTATCTGATATTATTAGTTATTTAGTGAAGATTCAAAGAAACTGTAAGGAAAAAAAAATAGATTTTTTTTCCTGCTAATGGCCTACTTGGTTATGTTTTCGTTTCAGAGGGAATCAAGGCCAAACACCCCAAAATTACATATGCTGACTTATATCAGGTGATTATCTTTTTCTTAACGATTTCTAATTGTCAAATAACCATCTCTATTCTCATTATGTTAATTAGCTTCACTGCTGAGAATAATTGATCAGATAGGCTAGGAACACTTTTGAAATCCCAGTGGTTAGTTGTTTAACTATGGTGTTATGATTCCATCTTTAACTTATTCTCCATCATTCTCGAATGTTTAGCTTGCTGGGGTTGTTGCAGTTGAGGTAACCGGAGGCCCTACTATTGACTTTGTTCCAGGAAGAAAGGTAATGTTCATGGTAGAACTTCATTACCTTTTACTTACTACCGTGAAGTAAAATTTGGTTTTTCAATTAGGATTCGCTGGAATCTCCTGAAGAAGGGCGTCTTCCTGATGCAAAACAAGGTTTTTCTCTATAATGACTCGGTTCAATTCATTCCTTTATAGCTTTTCTATGATATGGAAATTATTCTATTCTGATTCATTCTGGTTGCAGGAGCATCACATTTAAGGGATGTGTTCTATCGCATGGGTCTATCGGACAAGGACATTGTGGCACTGTCTGGAGGCCACACATTGGTACTTTTTGACTGATGCAGTTCTTTTCTGGATCATCAAAACATACCTAAAGTTGATGTTTCTTTGGGTTTTGTAGGGAAGGGCTCATCGAGATAGATCAGGCTTTGATGGCCCTTGGACAAAGGAGCCTTTGAAGTTTGACAACTCTTACTTCCAGTAAGGACATATTTAATTTTGAGCTCATTCCATATGCCAGCTAACTAGCATAATTTGCAAAGTCATGGTGAAAGCAGATATAAAGAATCTCTTTTTTATTGCAATCAGGGAGCTCCTGAAAGGGGATTCAGAGGGACTGTTAAAACTGCAGACAGACAGGGTTCTTGTTGAAGATCCCGAGTTCCGCAAATATGTCTTGCTGTACGCAGAGGTAATATTCTCATGAACTTTGAAAGATTACGTATTCTCCATATTGTGTTGCCTTGCCTTGCTGTGACATATTTTAGTAGCCAACTTAGGTTTTCTTCAGTTTCTGTTGCATGTCGATCGTCATTAATATGTCGGGCAATTCCAGAGGTAGTTTCCATTTCATGTGTTCTTGTTAGATGGAGATTAATTTAGGAAAGTTACGAATCAGCTGCTGATTAGAAAGTAAATTGAGAAAGTTGTTGGTTAAATGGCAGGATGAGGATGCATTCTTTTCAGATTATGCAGCATCACACAAGAAGTTATCAGAGCTGGGCTTTTCTCCTCCTTCCTCGAGTCTCAAAGCAATTACAGAGAACAGTACCTTGCTAGCTCAAAGTGCTGTGGGAGTCGCCGTTGCTGCAACTGTAATAATCCTAAGTTACTTCTATGAAATTAACAGAAGAGTGCAGTGAACTTGAAGAGTCATGTTTGGACTTCTTAAAGATCAGCAGAACAAGTGACTTTGCAAAACATATAGATTATAGGAACTATCAATTGCAATAATAAAGAAAGGTTGTTTTCTATGGTTTATTGATCTCTTTCTTTTTATTTGCTCAGTGCAAGAATTATTATCTCTTGTTCTACTTTCCACGCCTGCCTCTAGCCCACTTCCAATCTAATCTCTGCATATGCAAAATCTGGACAAATATCCCCGTAAACATTAGATTCATATGACGACATCAATTAGATGTTTTGTCATAGTCATAGCCATAGTCAATTAATGCTGGTCAATTTCATCTTCCAAATTCGGACATGACAGACTCTGAAGCAATCCGTTGTTGTGTTGGAAAAAGTAGCGGTTGTTTAGATTAAACAAGTGGCACCTAAACCTATCATCACATGCAAGTTCATAAATATAAAGCATATATTTTGTATCTTTGAAACATAATTAGAACTAATCCCTAGCATGCGTACTAAGAAGTTACAGAATAATGATATTCAAAGTAGTAATATAAACAAAACAAATCCTAGCATTTATATTGACAAATATTTAATTAAAAACATTGTCAAAATGAGTTATTTATTTAAGATATTTTCACAACAAATTAATGATGTTATTGTTAAGGATTAAACTATTTGTTTTTAAAACTAAATTTCTCGTTCATTCATTGGTACAAACAATCTTTGTTGCTAATAGTCCAATAACTTAACTTTTGGATTTACTTTCTTTTAAGAGTCCACAAATCAAAAGTATAAATTCAATCTCCTTTCCAAAAACTCTAGAATAAAGGGAAAAAACAACAAAAAACTAATAGAAATGGGAGGCAATATAATTTGAAAAAGAAAGAGGAAGACTACGTATATGTTTTAAAGTATTTAGAACTCCTCCACTTCCACCCATATTTATACTGATGTTCTAGAACCAAAACTAATAGGGATCACTATTTGAAAATCATATATTATCAACGAAATATTTGAAATATTTTATCGGTGTTTAAATAAAGATTCAATCCAAAATAAAATTATTGACAAAATCATGAATATAATAATATAGTCAAAGAACAAATTGTCAATGGCTTATATTTTTTCTATCAATCCATTGGTTATAATCCTAGCCACATCGTTATCAGCTTCCTCCTAATAAATTTTTTTCTTACATTTCACTTTCATAAAATAATTAGTTTTATAAAATTAAAAAATTATCCAAATTAAATATAAAAAACTATTTATGTATGTACTAATCTTGAACTCTTTAAACTAAACATCAATCATAGGCTTTCATTAAAGATTTTTTGAAACTTGACTCCAATTAAACATAAGTATTTTCTTCGATGATTTTAATGTCAATGTTATCATGCAAGTAACCTCTATATTATAAAATTAAAATCTCATTCGTTTATTGAAATTAATCATTCAAAAAATTATCAATTATTGTTTATTTTTTTATTGCACATAAAAGTAAAATGAACTTAGCAAAAACATTATCTAAGTCAACAGATGAAGTAACTTGATAAGAGTCACTTAACTCATCAAGTTGAAAGACATCATTTCTTGTAGTTAGAGTCACTTAACTCATCAAGTTGAAAGACATTATTTCTTGTAGTCACTTCATCGTTACCATCTTGAATAACTTGGATACGACTCTTGAGTTTGGTTTTCACAATGGATATAATCAATCAACCTAGAATGAACTTTTCTAAAAGAATGAGTGTATGTGTAATAAACTTGTTGGCATTACTTAAAAAAATAAAAACATCGTTGACATTGCGAAGTCTAGAATTTGTATTAATTTTGACCAAATCATGGTGGAGATTTACTCTAATTCCTCTAGTGATGGTATCATACCAATAAAATTTGATGTGCAATACTATTTAGAATGAAAGATATATCCATTGATGAAATATCTATTATAACACTTGACCTTTCTTTCATGACTCAAACATAGTAAATTCAAACTACCATTAACATTCTTTTTTATTTGATAAACCTGGTACAAGATTACAACCATTAATAGTTAAAGAGAAATGTGTAATGAAATTAAGTATTAAAAGAGTTAAGAATTATTAATAGGAGTGATCATTTTTGGTATTTACCTATAAAAAACCAAACCACAATTTTAAAAAAATCAAAACCAAATCGGACTCGATTTTATTCGATTGGTTTCGGTTCGATTTTCTATGTCAAAAACCAAAAAAACCTATATTGTTTTTTAACATCCAAAAGCCACAAAATCAAACCCATCTTCATCACCAACAGCCCCCACAATAGTGTTGAATCTATACCAGCCTTTTCTCAAGTAAATGGTCTCCTACAGAACCACAAAAACACATTGCGTCCTCTCATAATAATTAATCACTTCTCTATCACAAACCTAAAAACCTACATCAATGAAAACCATACTCTCAAACACAAATCATCACCACTACAATAAACACTGTCCAATGCCTATTGCCATTTTCTTTACCTATTTTCCTTCTATAAAAAAACCCAGTAACTACCAACAACCCAAACCACATAATTAAGCCCACTCCCACCTTTATTTTTTGTCAATAAGTTCTATTAGATTTCTATTTTTGTGACATAGCCAGAATAGTGCCAAAGTAAAAAATAAAAATTATTAGGAAAAAAACAAAAAAAAATAATAATCTTACTGCTATTAAGGTTTATGAGTGTTGCAAGGATGATAGATCTAGAGATGCAAATTAAAGAATGAAGATTAGAAGGTTAGGTGTTGCGTGCAGGAGCTTGGGTGGGGGTGGTTGGTTTGCAAGATATAATTATGATTGATAAATATTATGAAATGAAATTAATAAAGAATGAAGAATTAATTGTGTGTAGACTTGTTTTATTAAGACAATTCTAATATTTTTATCTAATAAATGTTTTTGTCATCTCATGACTTTTTTATCAAACCAAAAGCAAACTACAAAATGAAAATCACATCTTCTTTTTTATAGATAGAATGATGTCCTGAAAAAAACTACTAGAAATTTTTTAAAATATGTTTAATAAATATATTTAAGGCCAAATTAAAAGTGGAGTCTACTTATTTTAGGGTTAAAACATTGTTGAAATTTAGTCTCCAATAAAAGCTATTTATTATGGAATAATAACTTGATTTAAGAAAATATAGGTATACGAGAAATTGATCTAAAAAATCCTTGTTTTGCATGTTTTAGAGGAATCCAAAACCCTATAAAAAGCTTTTATCCTAAATAAAAAAGAAACATGTTTTGCTTGTTTATATAATGAGAATGTAAAATTTAAAATTAGACCTAAAGAGCACCCAAGTTTTTAAAGAAAGAACATAAATATAGTGAGTTTTGGGTGTAAACCTTCACACATGTACGAGAGCAGTTCAACTTTGCTTGATTTAGGACTAGGCTTGAGTTTATTGTAAAATAGTATTTTGGGCTACAAAAGATTATTTTTTGCCAACTTAATTTGAACTTCAATTTAATTTATGAATAATTATTTATTTTAGCCCATTATTTTGTTCAGTTAATAAATATTAGATTTGATAAGGTTTCCTAAAATAGTTACTATAAAGCATAAAAATTGTTTTATAGCTAAAAAACATCAGATTTAAAGCTAAAATGTTCAAGTTTGATTATGATTTTATGCTGGGTAATCAAAGTTAATAATAAGGAAAATTTATTATTGTAATTATCAAAATTAATTTTATATCAATTTTTATTCCAAAATCATTTATAAAATACGATGAAGATGAGTGTTTTAGGTTTTTTTGGCGCAAATTATGCAAAATCTTTTAACACTGCTCCTAATTTTCTAGCTTCATTTCTTTCTTTTCAAATTTGTTTTTTATTTTAAAATAATTATAAAAAATTTCTATAATATAATCGTGATTTCACTTTCTCGCTATACATTGATAAATTATATTTTAACATACTGGATCAAACAAATTTTTTAAAAAGATCAAAAAATAAAATCACCCTCATATATAATTACACTTTATTCACTCCCGACCTCGCTCCACCAAGCAATCCAACATTTAAAGGTGTCAAATCCTTTGTTGTCACCTTCAAAACCTCATCCGGCAACTCCCTATCAAGGACCTAAATTAAACAAGCATAAAACCCTTTTGTAATTGTTGAATCACTATCAGCCCAAGATATCATTTTACCATATTTGTTTAATTGTGCCTCCAATATAAACCATAGCCTGATTTGAATTGACTTGGAAAGAGTTTGGTAATGGAGAGAGGAGGGTTGTATTATGGAGAATGATAAGCCAGATATAAAAAGCTCCTCTATCATGTAAATATTGCCATGCATATTCGGGTATAACAGTTATAACTGACTTTCAGTTATAACAACTATAACTAGTAACTGACATTCAATTACTAATATATATATCGTAGCTCCCCTGTATATCTTCAATAAGAAAAAAGAGAAGCAGTATTTTTCTTTCTTAAATTTATCTTAGTATTAGAGCTTTTTCAATTAAGGATCCAGTGATGGCTTCTGCTTCCACTCAGTCTTCCTCAGCCGCTGGTTCTCCTAGTTCTACACAAACCACAACAGTGTCGCCCATTTCTTCTTATCAAATGCTTAATCACACACTGCCTATAAAGCTTGATCGCACCAATTACATTCTTTGGAGGTCTCAAGTTGACAATGTGCTCTTTGCTAATGGATTCAAAGGTTTTATAGATGGATCTTGTATCTGTTTAGAGAAGGAACTAAGTCCATGAGTGCTTAATCCAACTTTTATTGTCTGGAGACGACAAGATCGCACAATTCTTAGCTAGATATACTCCTCTCTCACTCCAGCAATCATGGCGCAGATCATAGGTCACAATTCTTCTTATTATGCATGGAAAGCTTTGGAGAAAACCTTTTCATCATCCTCAATAGCCAGGATAATACAATTAAGACTGGAACTACATTCCACAAAGAAAGGATCTATGACTATAATAAATTACATCATGAAAGTTAAAGTAGCTGCAGACAGTTTAACTGCTATTGGAGAACCTGTCTTTGAGCAGGATCAAGTTATGAACCTCCTTGGAGGTTTTGGATTAGACTATAATGTAGTTGTTACTACAATTAACATTAGAGAT